TGTGCAGTGTACGGTTGTAGCAACAGCGCAAATAGAGAGAAAGACAAGAGCTTCTTCCGCGTTCCAACTGTGGTCTCATATAAAGGAGGACACTTTGAAAAAATCACTCGAATGAGGCGGGCGAGGTGGATCAAGACTTTCCCAGATAAGCGCCCCCTGCAGGCCACCCGAAAGAAACGCAGCAATTTCTTCCGTTTTTCTTTCCAAAAATGCCCGAAATCAAGATTCTTTTGAGAAATATTGGTTAGTACTCCCTTAGAATTGAGTGTCCCCGATTAAGACTGTTACAACAACCGTACACCGCACAGGATGAGAGCCTTTTGACCCAGAGTTGTCCCACCTCTGCTCATTCGCCCCCTACAGGCCAGTTTAGTGAAACCTAAGAATAGTGATCTATGAGGAGAGAGGACTGGAGGAGGAGGAGAGATGGAAGAAAAACTGAGGTAAAGGTAACACAATAGGTCCACAGGGGAGCCTTACACCTGCAGCTCGGTTCTACCCTTATCAACTTTACAATTTAAGATATTTTAGGCTTTGTTATACTGTCAGCACCACTCTCATTAGAGTTCAAATTAATGCAGGTAATAAGGAGCAGCAAGAGGAGAGGATTTGTAAAAAAAAAAACAAAAAACAAAAGTCAAAACCCCAATTAGCCGCAGCAGTGAGTGTGTTGTGAAAGGACTCGTGGCCCCGGGGCCCCTGTGAGTGGGAGACACAAGCATCAGATAATTGTTGTTTTTGAAGTTGAAGAGTCCGAACAAAACGAGCCATCTCCAGAGGAATATTTCAGTCGATGCAACGATGTCAACGTGGAGACGACAGAGAAGCAGACGGCGGAACCAAGAAGTTACATGGTGCGGAGAGATTTGAAAAGCATTTATACACATTTTCTATTTTGTGTTTGATTATTTCATAACTTGCACAGGATATACAAACAATTAAATCACAGAAAAAAGGACAATAAGGGGAAACAAGAAAATGTGCATGGTTTGAAAAAAAAACAAAAAAGGATTGGTCAAAGCAAATTTCAGTATTTGGGTAAAAATACGTTTTGAGAATTTGGCATACAACAGGAAAATGTTCAAATACAGAATTGTCTGGTTTTCTGTACCTCTGCTAACACAATTCTTACGATCAAATGTCTTAAAATGTCATGTGTGTAACTTCAACTGTACTTACATTTTTAAAATACATATTTTTGACCAGTTGACCCCGGAGTATAATTTATCTTTAAAAAAATTCATAATAAATATATGTAAAACAGTACCTCACCTTGGAATAAGCTTCATCATTAAGGTTTGGTGGAGGAGAATAGTCAGACCAATGGGGACTTCAGATGTTTATCAGGTAAATGAATTAACTACATCCGAACAGAAACCATTGGGTCTTATCCCAAAAACATCTCTCCATCTTCACAATTTGAAAAGATACTATTCCTTCACATGAAGACCCACTTTTATTCTTTGGCTTGTGACAGCGTTGGGAGTTGTAAGGTCCTCTGAGTGTTTTTTACATGTGTTTTTATTGATCTTCTGATTCTTTTTGATTTCATTGTTTTAAAATAACAGTCAAATCAGTCATTTAATTGTATCTTCTGCAGTTTTGAATATGGAATTATGGTTAAAGTTAGGAGAATAATACTGATCAAATTATCAAGACGGGCAACACAAACTTAAAGGAGGGGTTCTTAAAACAAATAGAGACAAAAAGAAAATATGTTCTTTGTCCCAACAGAGAAAAAGGTCTTTTGAAAATAAGATGCCATCAGGATCTTATTAGAAAATATCATATTTAGCAAACTTGCCCCAGAATCTTTTCTACATTTTGGGCTGAGAGCTGATTGTCTGAGTAAGCGTGGTCCTCTCTTTTTCAGTTTTCAATCCAAAAAAGCTGATGTAAAGATGCACCAGAGGCCGAAAACCATAGACTGTAAATATTAACGTACAGAGTCACGCCTATCTCCGCCGTTCTAACTAATGGGCCAAAAATAGTGCTCTACTGGAGCTATCCAAAATGGCCGCGAGTGGTCCCGCCCACAAAAAAATTGTGAAAAAACGCATCTGCGCATGCGTCAGCCGGCGCAACTCCATTCATTTGAACGAGAGACTTCAAAAATTCACAGCAAGTAAACTAGAGTGGACCAAAAAAATCCACCCCCCTCAGCATTGACACACATGTGGAACGGAGCTTTGGGCCAAGAGCCAACTTTTGGTCCATCCTGTAAAGACGTTTTCGAGAGGTCTGCCAATGCTATATGTTAGCATTGGCTAATTCTCATTCCGGGTCCACCCCCATCGGCCCAGGGTGGTATTGCAAGCATGTCAGCGCACGTCATTTTGGCCACTTTTGAGCCGGGACCCTCCCCCACTGCCAAAAACGCATGCGAAAACTTCAGCAGTGAAAGAACCAAGCTATTTACTATCCATGTAATTTAACCACTAGTAACATGGATTGTTTTATTACATTAGGTATTTATGCATCGGAAATAAGGTCCTCCAGCCAGACCATTTACTGTTTTTTATGCAGGTTTTTTTCCCATCCATTTTTTTCCATCAGTGACTCCATTTGCGCCAAATTATATGGAATTACTGCTAAAAAACCTCAGCATGGTACATATTAAGTCAGCTTAGAGAGAGAGAGAGAGAGTTTTGACCACTCGGGCTGAAGACTGACGGCTGCTGTGAAAGGCCTGGTATATTACATGTTGTAATCACACACGGAACATCAGCTTTCTCTGCGTTGCAGTTTAAATGCCATGTTTTGCGTCACTTTCATTTGTAGATGTTTGGGATAGAGCATTCGTTTGAAGGAATATGGAAAAGCACGGTCTCCACATCTCTCCTCTTCAAACTCTCCATCCTTCCCTCAAGAAACTCGCTCTGAGCTTCTGAGACGATAAGGCTCTCTCTCACCCCCCCAAGACTCAAAAGCCAAGGAAGAAATACCAAAAAAAGCAACGTTTGAGTTGTATTTTTATTCATTTGGTTAAAACTTACTTTGAGATTTACTTGATTATAATTGATGAAACTGCAAATCTTTCCGCTTGTTGACTGTATGAGGAGGAATGAAAGCATAGACGCACAAAATAAATGTATTTGAGGAGTTAAATATGCAACAAAAACAAAGTGATTAAATAACTCTGGCACTGGAGGGTTTGTGGAGAGGACAAAACAACCAAACAGCGTCCGCGTAGCACTTGCTATTCAGAAGTTGTTACATAAGCACTTTTAGAGAGTGTTTTGAGGCCGTTTTTGAGCATTTGGGGTCAGGCAGCGCTCAGCAGCAGCATTTCAAACTCAAATCATGTGAATTCTGGCCTTTACTGTCACATTCGGCAAAGAAGATATACAAAATGAATGTGTATTTTTGAGCTGATGACAAAAAAAAACAAGAATCTCCCTTCAGTTTGTCAAAATACATCTGCCATCGTGTCAGGAATCTCGAGAACAATTTTCAATATTGTGGAGCCAAGTTTTGAAAAGAGTTAATTCCATATATGTATGCAAAATCGTAAAATATTCTCCAAAATTAAGTGTTAAATTGTGTCGTCACATGTTTTGTCTGTATTTTCCCAAATGCATTTGGAAGTCTAAAGAGCCAGGGTTTTTGTCACATTCGATCATAATTGTTTTATCATTTTGTGAACATGTATGTAATAAACAGGGGCGACAGTAGCTCAGTTGGTAGAGCATTGACCTTAAGGCCAGAGGGTCGTGGGTTTAATTCCCACCTCTGCACCTTCTCCATCGACTCCCACTGATGACTGCTGTCGTTGTGTCCTTGGGCAAGACACTTAACCCCACTTTGCCCAAAAGCCCCCACTGAAAGATCAAGGCTATGCTCACACTCAAAGAGCAGCCGTCCTCCTGTGGACTCACCACCTGCAGAGGGTCAGTGAGGGGCTGGTGCTATGAGACTTGGGTGGCATCTCTGACTGTCACCCCCCTGACCCAGAAATGGATTAAAGGGTAGAAAATGGATGGATGGAAATGGATGGTATGTAATAAACAGCATGTGAAATAAATACCCAAAAATGTATTTGTAGATTAGATTTACAATTTTGTACAATTGTAATAGCAGGAAAGTCCCATTATATCCATTTGAAATCATTGAAAACCGAGCAGACACATATAAATAGCAGGATGATTGATAATTGGCCATAAAAGTGACTCAACTCTGCATTAATGTTTTAGCTAGAGAGTAGAGTACAAAGAAAACGGCAATAATGTCATCACTTTTGCCAATAAATTCTACGTTGTATCAGATTTTTCAAGAGCCAAAAAATATTATAGCATCAGTTATTGAATCAGTTCTTGAACGATGAAGTTGGTATAGTAAATATTTCTTCCTATAACACAAGTTGACAGCCAAAAAATGGTCAGGGGTTTCTCAACTGATTTAGACTAATTTTGGTGTTCTGAGTCCAAATATTACATGCATTTTGCTCTATCAGGTCAACTTTTTGAGATACAGGCATAGTGTTATGGATTATGTACGTCTACGTTATTATGAATTCTCCTTATCAAATTTGATGGAGTAAATAAAAACTGAATGACTTTTGATACGTTGACTTTTATTTCTTGAGGAAAACGGAATAAACGTCAAGGGCTTCTCAGCTGATGATCCGCAGAAATTGTTTTTTTTTAACGCAAAATCGATTTAAAAAAATATTTCTGTAGCAAAAAATCCTGACCTGATTGAGCAAAACCAAGGTCATTTTCGGACTCAGAGCCTCAAAATTAGTCTAATTCAGCTGGAAAACCCTGGACTATTTTCAAAAAATATTTTTTTGTTACCCAGTGTAATCAGTCGGGCCAAGACTCGACAAAGGAAAATATACAAATTGTGTAAAAATCCAGGCAGAGCAGTGCGCCAGAAGCTCTGTGTTGATTTGAGAAGTCATTCACAAATTTTCATAACTGTACGTGTCAATGTCAACAAAAACTTTAATTTCTACTTTTACAGGAGTAGAAACTGTCAAAGTTCAAAACTAGACTTACCTCGTAAATCCCTCCAAACAAAGACATAAACTTGCTGAGTAGCGCAGCACACAAACTGGCGATGTGAACGAACGGCCCCTAAAGGAGAAATGAAAAACAAATTTGAAATTCACACAACTTCTTTCAAACATTTCTTTCAAAAAACAAAAGTACCACACAATTATCCAGACTAGATTAAAGGTTACAGTCCTGACTGAGCTGCTGAAATAAAATCCAACAAGACGACATATTTGAGGAAAACCTAAAAATACAAATCGAGAATAGATCTGTAAAAACCTGGAGCCATAATATCATTGGTAAATACACAGAGGACTGGTTTGAATATTGAAAGTCAGATACAGTTAAAAGTGGAACTAAAAGGATTACAGAGAGCGTGAGGAGAGAGCTACAGTAGTTCATGGAAGCAGAGAGAAGCAGAGAGAAGCAGAGAGATGTAGAGAGAAAAAGAGAAAGAGATGCAGAGAAGCAGAGAGAAGCAGAGAGATGTAGAGAGAAAAAGAGATGCAGAGAAGCAGAGAGAAGCAGAGAGATGTAGAGAGAAGCAGAGAGAAGTAGAAAGATGCAGAGAGATGTAGAGAGAAGCTGAGAGAAAGATGCAGAAAGAAGCAGAGAGATGGAAAGAGATGCAAAGAGATGCAGAGAGAGGCAGAGAGATGCAGAGAGAGGCAGAGAGAGGCACAGAGAGGCACAGAGAGGCACAGAGAGGCACAGAGAGGCACAGAGAGGCACAGAGAGGCACAGAGAGGCACAGAGAGGCACAGAGAGGCAGAGAGAGGCAGAGAGAGGCAGAGAGAGGCACAGAGAGGCACAGAGAGGCACAGAGAGAGGCAGAGAGAGGCAGAGAGAGGCAGAGAGAGGCAGAGAGAGGCAGAGAGAGGCAGAGAGATGCAGAGAGAGGCAGAGAGAGGCAGAGAGAGGCAGAGAGAGGCAGAGAGAGGCAGAGAGATGTAGAGAGAAGAAGAGAGGCAGAGATGCAGAAAGAAGCAGAGAGGAGCATAGAGAAGTAGAAAGATGCAGAGAGATGTAGAGAAAAGCTGAGAGAAAGATGCAGAAAGAAGCAGAGAGATGGAAAGAGATGCAAAGAGATGCAGAGAGAGGCACAGAGAGGCACAGAGAGGCACAGAGAGGCACAGAGAGGCACAGAGAGGCACAGAGAGGCACAGAGAGGCACAGAGAGGCACAGAGAGGCCTGCATCTCTGTGCCTCTCTCTGAGGCAGAGAGAGGCAGAGAGATGTAGAGAGAGGCAGAGAGAGGCAGAGAGGCAGAGAGATGTAGAGAGAAGAAGAGAGGCAGAGATGCAGAAAGAAGCAGAGAGAGAGATGCAGAAAGAAGCAGAGAGGCAGAGAGATGCAGAGAGATGCAGAGAGATGAAGAGAGATGAAGAGAGATGAAGAGAGATGAAGAGAGATGAAGAGAGATGAAGAGAGATGAAGAGAGATGAAGAGGGAGCAGAGAGAGGCAGAGCGATGGAGAGAGATGCAGCAAAGCCAGAGCCTTGGGCCGGCGTCAGACACAGAAAAAAAACTAACTTTCAACATGTTTGCAAGAATTTCCTCCAGCGTCGCGTCTTTTGGGAACGCCGAAGCAGCTACATTGTTTTGGCTTAAAGGCGACGGCATAATAAAAAGCGCTCGCCATTTTGTATTCACGGCACACGTCCAGGGAGCCGGCAACAACAAGCAAATGCAGATGATCGAAACATCTGTGCGGGCCCCGAAAACACAGGGGTTTTGGTTTTCATCTATGCGGCGCTCTTCTCCTCACTCTCAATATGCACCAGCAAACTTTGGCCCTTTGTAATTTGGAGAATCATTTGCAATTCATGAAATGGAAATGATTTGAGCAGTTGGACTTCTGCTAATGTGATATATTACAGGCCAGCTTCTTTAGCATAATTTAGCTGATCCAAAAAAGAAGAAGGAAAGAGATGTAATGGAATGTACTGGAAGCAAAGCTAGCGTGAACGTTCTCCCGCACTCTCTCCGACATCGACCTGTTTAAAGAAAGTGTGCGTAAGTTCGTGATGGTGCTAAATTAACAATGACTGTAGGATTGAACGGGGACAGAACCTAATTTAATTCTCTTTTACATGTGGCTCTTTGTCAAAACGTAAGGTTCATGTGAAATGTTTGGGACAAGAGGACTTTAGGAGTTCCTAGTTTCTTCTAGATAGCTTGAGCTCAATCCACATAGCCCTGCCCCTTTGCCAGATCGCCAAGGAAACTTGCAGAAATATATACATCTCCACTGCAGACAAAGTTGTGATATGACTTTTTTTTCCTTTGAGCAAAAATGACTGCACCAGGTCGGGTGAATTCTCCAAATATCCTGAATTCCGAAAAGTAAAATTGCAGAAGAAAGTAGAGCCCATGGGGGAGGGGCTCTGTGCTGGTAGTCAGAAGACTGAGGGGAGAGCAATAACGGGGCACGAGGATGAAAATAACTCAAACACGCATTCTAAAAACAGTTGTATGTGTAAATGAGAAGGATAAATGTATATATAACATGGCCAAAAGTTGAGAAGAGTCCATTTTTGAGTCTCCTTTAAGTTTGAAATAAGAAGATATGTAGTTATGGCTCTGTGAGAAGCTGCCCAAGAAGCAAATTTTTGTTGTATACATATTATGGGGGTAGGATTAAATAAGTTTTCTTCTTCCTACTGCCTTTCAGGCAAATATTTTGGTTTATTTTTTTTTTATTTTTTTTTTTCATGCATGTTAGCAATGCTTTACTTATTTTTATTTTTTGTTGGAAACTATGACTAACAAGAGGTGACTGCTGCCTCATGTGAAATGCCTGAAATGAATAAATACAGGCTAGTGAATTAAACTGTCAAAAGAATCAACTATTCTCTTCTGCCTTGGTCATTAAATGTATTTTCGGACTAGTCACCAACTGCGTAAATACTTAAAACATAAAAAAGGTACCCCCCACTTTTAGTTTTCCCTACAAAAAGTTTTTGTGAAAATTCAGTCCTCAACAATAGAAGTTACCTTTTGCATGCATGAAAGAGTATATGCTTTAAACATTTACCTTTTTTTTTTTCTTTACTCAAGACAAAATGAACCTTTTTGAATCTTTAAACATTTAGGCCATTGAGGGTGGTCCTCTATATTTCACTTCTCGGTCTGAAAATTCTGATCCAAAGATGTGACAGAGGACAAAAATACATAAATGTGAAAACCAGAGATAGAACCAACGTCTTTTGAGTGAGAGAAACTAATTAGGTGTAATTTAATGCATTAGGTTCATTGTTCAAAGTTATGTGCTCCAGCGTCACAACGTTATCCAAGCATGACACACACTTTGGAAACTTTTGAATCCTTTACGCCCAATCAAAATGCAAAGACGTACAGCAGCGTTTTAAAGAACAGTTTGTCCTTTTTGAGAGTGATGTTTTCTGGAAATGTGCCTCTTCCACTTTAGAACAGTCATTGATCATTGGTCCGGACAGTATTTCAGATTTTACATAACGTCAGAGCTTTTCTTAAACAAAATAATAAAATAAGGACCTTTCTAAGTAACATTTAAAACCGACAGAACAGGTTATAAATCCAAGCAAGAATGTGGAATAAAAGACCCGGCAACAGTTTGATGTAAGAGTGAATTACATGGTTTAAAACAAGCATTTTGACAAGCAGCACTAAGCTCCTCGGAGGTCTGATGGCGGATAATAATGTGAAGTGAGCAGTGAGAGCTCTGAACTGAGACTGATGGAGGAGAGAAGTCTGAGCAGCGGGTGACGGCAGCTCAAAGAACCACCATATACAGTCTATACACACACACACACACACAGACACAGACGCACACACAGACGCACACGCACACTGCTACTGCTGGAGGAAGTTGATTAAAAGTCAATTCTAACTATTTTCTCTTTTCAGCGAGATTTCACATTCACTAGATTCTACCAGAAGTGAGTTGTCTTGTGTTTTAACCCCAGTTTGTGAAAGGGAAAAAGTGAAGGAGCCCAGTGCTTCTACTCATGTACAGTATACATCAATTCAAAAAGTCCATCCATCATTTTCTTCCCCTTAATCCATTTCTGGGTCGGGGGGTGGCAGTCAGAGATGCACCCAGTCACAGAGCACCAGCCCCTCACTGATCCTTCTGCAGGTGGTGAGTCCACAGGAGCTGAGATCTTTCAGCGGGGGCTTCAGGCAAAGTGGGTTAAGTGTCTTGCCCAAGGACACAACGACAGCAGTCATCAGTGGGAGTCGTGAAGGAGGTCTTATGGTGGGCTCGAACCCATGACCTTCAGGCTCAAAGGCCAATGCTCTACCAACTGAGCCACTGTCGCCCCAATTCAAAAAAGTATACCGTTTAATAATACCACAGCGCTTACCATTTTTTAAAATATTTTTGAAAATAGTAAGTGCTGTGGTATTAAATGGACCAAATCTGCTGCTTTGTCTAAAAAGGATGTGCGATTCTATCCATGCCAAATGTGACATGTAAATCTCTCCAGTGTGAGATCAATAAAGTCCATGTTGATTAAGGTTAAGAGGTCCTTTATTCGTCCCACAGTGGGGAAATTTCAGTGTTGCATCTCCAGTTACAAAACAGTAGGAATGAGGAATACACAGCACACAATAAATATTAACTCTATACCAGAATAAGAGAAAGTTTAGCATAATAGTATAAAATCTCTAGCTTTAGGGTAATAAAGGAATATCTCACTAACATATTGACATAAATAAAATTAAATAACGCCAAATTTATAAGAAAAAAGATTTAGTTTTGAGTTACTCTTAAAAACAAAAAGTATATGGGCAGCTTCTCACAGAGCCATAACTACATATCTATAAGTGGAGCTGGTTGGACAGGAGCAGACTATCACAGCACCGCTCAGAGCACACAGGGCGCTTCAGCAGTGCTTATTCTACAGATTTTACTGGATTCTTTCCACCAATGCAGCAAAAAGGAGGAAGAGGAGGGGTGAGCTCCCAGCGGGCACCGTTTCATCCAATATTCATCTTTGTGCATTCCGTCCGCGCCTCAGTCTTTCCTCAGACGTACAGCGGGAATTGTCTCACCCACCGATTTCAACCAACTCCAATTTCAATCTTAATCCAGGTGTTAATCATTTACGTCTGTTATAGTTAAAGGGTTAAAGGTCCGGTACACGTGGCAAGGACGGCTAAAGTAAATCCGATCTCGTTCTTCCTGAAGCCTGGGTACTTCATGTCCACTTCCTCTTTTAATCGCACTAGACACATATTGATTGAGCCACTGATCAAACAAAGTGTATCCTGTGCGTCACCACCTCTTTCCCCCTCAGTAAACCACACACTGCCAACACACACACACACATACATACACGCACAGAGACGCACACAGAGAGTAGGGGACATACATGGGAGGGTGCAGTGTCCTTACCTCTTTGCCCAGAGGCATCCCACTGCCCAGAGCACAGGTGAGGCCGATTACTTTGGCCACGAACGTTTTGAAGGTGAGGTATTCTTTCAACACGACTCCTCTCAGGATGGTCTTCATTTCAGGGATACCGGATCCTATGGGCGGGAAAAAAGTGAGTGGAGATTTTACAGACGGATTTTGCTTTCATGTTGGGTTGTCACGGTAAACCATTTGCACGGGGATAAGGAGGATGTTTATGCCCGTCCTTAAGCCATAGGGTATTTGGAATGTTGTGATGGCAATTCCAACATTCCAACATTCCATAAAGAACCTGTAGTTTAACACTGTGGAGGAGGGAAGCCGACACATCTTTGCTGGTAACCGTCAAAAGTCAGATTTCTAATATTAATGTATGGCTAATTTCTCTAATTCCTGAGAGTCCATCAAATCCCGATACTTATATGATCACTTGTTTGTAACAGGTAGCACTTAGACTTAATAATTACATAAACGGAAGCTGAACATGTTTTTTCATCATACTTATTAAGCAGTGACAGGTTCTCACTTCCCACATAGTGCCAAGATGGTTGTTTACAGTAGATGAGGTCCCCAAACCTTCTCATTGAGAGCTAATTTCTCAGGACAAAAATTACAGTGAGCAAGAAAGTCAACATAATAATGCACTAAACTACAAATTAATTAATTAAAAAGTCACTTATAGAATTATTCCTGTTTGCCGTGTATCCCGTGTAATCCCTTATTAGGCCCGAGCCCCGAACGGGGTAAGGGCCTATTGCTTTCACAATGGTGAAAACAAATGGTGGCGGTGCGTGACGGACGCGTCAGCGCCCGTCACTCGCCAAAACGTGACGGTTGCGTGCGTAAACTCAAAAGCTTTAAAATGATGTATCACGTGCCATTGAAACCTATATTGTTTTTGCTCGAGACGTCGAAAAAAAAATTCCTTTTTTATTATTAGGCCCGAGCCCCGAACGGGGTAAGGGCCTATTGCTTTCACAATGGTGAAAACAAATGGTGGCGGTGCGTGACGGACGCGTCAGCGCCCGTCACTCACCAAAACGTGACGGTTGCGTGCGTAAACTCAAAAGCTTTAAAATGATGTATCAGGTGCCATTGAAACCTATATTGTTTTTGCTCGAGACGTCGAAAAAAAAAATTCCTTTTTTATTTATTTCTTTCTTTCTTTCTTTCTTTCTTTCTTTTTTCTTCTGCACTTTGAGCCTTAATTTGACCCCCTGAACATGCATGAAAAGTTGTTAATTTTGGCCCAAAAATCAGACCTGGCGAAAAATTTGATATTTTGGTGTTTATTTTTATGGGACTCAAAAAATGACGGAACAGCGCCACCTACAACAGCCAAAATAATACCCCTATGGGAGTTTTGGAGATCAAGTTTGACATAGAGTCATGAAATTTGGTACACATGTTTGTCAAGTCAAGACAAGAAAAAAATATTATTATGGCCCCGCCCTCTGACAAACAGGAAGCCCATAAATTTCACTGCAAAATGGAAAAATGAACAGCAAAAGTTTTCATACATGTCGGTTGGAAAGCGACTCCTCCTCAGCCGTTTCACCGATTCACCTCAAAATCGCTCCACATCATCTCAACACATGTACCTTCAAAATGACCTCAGGGATTTTTGATCAGTGAAACATTGTGCGAGCAGCGGAGCGGCAAAATGTGACCTTTTTTTGGCCGTTTTTGACAACATTAAATTTGCTCCCGTTTGCACAAACAAAGTCTGATTTTCACAAAACTTTAATACATTGTTCAACTCTAGGGTCTAGGTCATTTGAAAGTTAAATGATTCAAATTGACACATTAGCGCCCCCTACAGACTATTTCAAAGTTTTAAATGGGCATTTTCAAATTTAGTTTTTTCAAAATGTTTGAAATTTTGCACATACATCTGTTTTGCCCTTTTGATTCAAAAAGTCAATTGGGTCCAAGGCTTATTTTTTACCCTGTTGCCGTGGCGACGACAAACGCTCCCCATTCATTGCAAATGTACACCTCACACAAACATCAAACCAGCCTCGGCCGTTTCACCGATTCGCCTCAAAATCGCTCCACATCATCTCAACACATGTACCATCAAAATGACTTCAGGGAATTTTGATCAGTCAAACGTTGTTTGAGCAGCAGAGCGCCAAAAGTGGCGTATTTTTTTTCAGTTTTTGACAATAGAAAAATTGTTTCCGTTTGCACAAACAAAGTGTGATTGGCACAAAACTTGAATCCATGGTTCAACTCTTGGGTCTAGGTCAATTGAAAGTTCAAATTTTGAAATTGGCTCTATAGCGCCACCTACAACAGCCAATTTAAAAATGCCTATGGGATGGGTTCGAGGTCAAAATTGCCGTAGAACCATGTAATTTGGTACACATGTTCCTCAAGTCAAGACATGGAAAAAATGTTATTATGGCTAATCCCTCTGACAAACAGGAAGATCATAAATTTCACTGCAAAATGGAAAAATGAACAGCAAAAGTTTTCATACATGTCGGTTGGAAAGCGACTCCTCCTCGGCCGTTTCACCGATTCGCCTCAAAATCGCTCCACATCATCTCAACACATGTACCTTCAAAATGACCTCAGGGATTTTTGATCAGTGAAACATTGTTTGAGCAGCGGAGCGGAAAAATGTGACCTTTTTTTTGCCGTTTTTGACAACATTAAATTTGCTCCCGTTTGCACAAACAAAGTCTGATTTGCACAAAACTTTAATACATTGTTCAACTCCAGGGTTTAGGTCAGGTGAAAGTGAAATATTTTAAATTGGCCCATTAGCGCCCCCTAAAGACTGTGTCAAAGTTTACATGGGGAGCCAAACCAGCTCTAGTTATCATATTCATTACGATTTGACTAACAATCTTCTATGGCTATGGGAACAAATCATCACACGGCGGTGCCACCTCCTTTTAGCGGTGCTGCGTGGTACGGTGTGGTGCGGCGTAGTGCGGGGCGTTGTGGAGCGGCGCGTTGCGGCTTGGTGCGGGGCGGCGTGGTGCGGCGGGTGTGCGCGGTGCGGCGAGTCGCGCGGTGCGGGGAGTCGCGCGTTGCGGGGAGTCGCGCGGTGCGGCGAGGGCCGTTCGACGCCGCTTGCGGCTTTAATTTATTTCTTTCTTTCTTTTTTCTTCTGCACTTTGAGCCTTAATTTGACCCCCTGAACATGCATGAAAAGTTGTTAATTTTGGCCCAAAAATCAGACCTGGCGAAAAATTTGATATTTTGGTGTTTATTTTTATGGGACTCAAAAAATGACAGAACAGCGCCACCTACAACAGCCAAAATAATACCCCATGGGACTTTTCGGAGGTCAAGTTTGTCGTAGAGCCATGAAATTTGGTACACATGTTCCTCAAGTCAAGACAAGAAAAAAATATTATTATGGCCCCGCCCCCTGACAAACAGGAAGCCCATAAATTTCACTGCAAAATGGAAAAATGAACAGCAAAAGTTTTCATACATGTCGGTTGGAAAGCGACTCCTCCTCGGCCGTTTCACCGATTCGCCTCAAAATTGCTCCACATCATCTCAACACATGTACCTTCAAAATGACCTCAGGGATTTTTGATCAGTGAAACATTGTTTCGAGCAGCGGAGCGGCAAAATGTGACCTTTTTTTGGCCGTTTTTGACAACATTAAATTTGCTCCCGTTTGCACAAACAAAGTCTGATTTGCACAAAACTTTAATACATTGTTCAACTCTAGGGTCTAGGTCATTTGAAAGTGAAATGATTCAAATTGACACATTAGCGCCCCCTACAGACTATTTCAAAGTTTTAGATGGGCATTTTCAAATTTAGTTTTTTCAAAATGTTTGAAATTTTGCACATAAATCTGTTTTGCCCTCTTGATTCAAAAAGTCAATAGGGTCCAAGGCTTATTTTTTACCCTGTTGCCGTGGCGACAACAAACGCTCCCCATTGATTGCCTATGGCAAATGTACACCTCACACAAACATCAAACCAGCCTCGGCCGTTTCCCGGATTCGCGTCAAAATCGCTCCACATCATCTCAACACATGTACCATCAAAATGATTTCAGGGAATTTTGATCAGTGAAACGTTGTTTGAGCAGCGGAGCGCCAAAAAGTGGCGTATTTTTTTTCAGTTTTTGACAATAGAAAAATTGCTTCCGTTTGCACAAAACTTGAATCCATGGTTCAACTCTTGGGTCTAGGTCATTTGAAAGTTAAAATTTTGAAATTGGCTCTATAGCGCCACCTACAACAGCCAATTTAAAAATGCCTATGGGAGGGGTTCGAGGTCAAAATTGTCGTAGAACCATGTAATTTGGTACACATGTTCCTCAAGTCAAGACATGGAAAAAATTTATTATGGCTAACCCCTCGACAAACAGGAAGCCCATAAATTCATTGCAAAATGGAAAAATGAAAACCAATCATTTTCATACACGTCGGTTGGAAAGCGACTCCTCCTCGGCCGTTTCACCGATTGGCCTCAAAATTCTCCAAATTATCTCAACACATGTACCTTCAAAATGACTTCAGGGAATTTTAATCAGTGAAACGTTGTTTGAGCAGCGGAGCGGCAAAATGTGAGGTTTTTTTGGCAGTTTTTGATAACATACATTTTTTTTCCCGTTTGCACAAACAAAGTCTGATTTGCATTAAACTTGAACCCAAAGTTCAACTCCAAGGTTTAGGTCAGGTGAAAGTGAAATATTTGAAATTGGCCCATTAGCGCCCCCTACAGACTGAAGCAAAGTTTACATGGGGAGCCAAACCAGCTCTACTTATCATATTCATTACAATTTGACTAACAATCTTCTATGGCTACAGGAACAAATCATCACACGGCGGTGCCACCTCCTTTGAGCGGTGCTGCGTGGTACGGTGTGGTGCGGCGTAGTGCGGGGCGTTGTGGAGCGGCGCATTGCGGCTTGGTGCGGGGCGGCGTGAGCGGGCGGGATAGCGTGGTGCAGGGCGGCGGGGTGGCTTGGAACGGGGTGGTGCGGGGGGTGCGCGCGGGGGGTGCGCGCGGTGCGGGGAGTCGTTTCTGGTTGGTTTTGTTATTAAGTGGAATAAGCCCATGCTGTTCATTGAATTTAAGAATTCAGTTGTTATCTGTTCATTTACAGTTTCTAA